TTCCGTGTGCTCATTATGTCGGGTCGCGGCAAAGGCGGCAAGGGGCTGGGGAAAGGCGGCGCCAAGCGCCACAGGAAGGTGCTGCGGGACAACATCCAGGGCATCACTAAGCCGGCCATCCGCCGCCTGGCTCGGCGCGGCGGCGTGAAGCGCATCTCCGGCCTCATCTACGAGGAGACCCGCGGGGTGCTCAAGGTCTTCCTGGAGAACGTGATCCGCGACGCCGTCACCTACACGGAGCACGCCAAGCGCAAGACCGTCACCGCCATGGACGTGGTCTACGCGCTCAAGCGCCAGGGCCGCACCCTCTACGGCTTCGGCGGCTGAGCTGCCTGTCCTAAACCCTCAGCAAAACATCTGTATCTAAGGCTCTTTTCAGAGCCACCCACTTTTTCACAATAAGAGCTGTTCGCTGCTGTTGTGGTTTTTTTCTGTAAGCAAAAGCCTTATTTCAACCGGAGTTCAGAAAAAGCAGATCTGCGTAGTATCGTTCTCCCTGGCAATATACAAGCGTTTATCGTTGCTCGTCTTAAACCAACATTTATTGGAATTTAGAGCATAATTTTAATTTAACGCAATTAGTTAAAACGTACCAACTTTATGAACTCATGATTGCTTAAAAGAAACATGAAAAGCTGCTTTGGGAGCTGGCCGAGCGCGCTGTGTCAGAGGGCACCAAGGCTTTCACCAAGTACACCAGCTCTAAGTAGACACGCTATATTAGCAATGTACTTAAATACAAAGATATAGATGGTAAATCAATTGAGCTGTGAGAATCTGACCAGACTTGTATAGGTACAAAGGGGTTTTTAAAGTAAGTGCTTCCACAGTATTGATAGTCACTGTTCTGGGATACTGGCTTCAAGCAAGGGTGAATGGGAGAACGTCTATAATGACGCGATTTCTTTTTACCAATGGGAACGCTGAATCTAGAATACCCTAATTTGCATAACACCCTTATAAATAAAGGAGCAGCCACCATTGCATTCACGTTGTTGTTCAGCTACTGGGAAGTCTTGAAAAAAATCCTTGAAATGCCAGAACCAGCGAAATCTGCTCCTGCGCCGAAGAAGGGCTCAAAAAAAGCCGTGACCAAGACTCAGAAGAAGGGGGATAAAAAGCGGAAGAGAACCAGGAAAGAGAGCTACTCCATCTACGTGTACAAGGTGCTGAAGCAGGTGCACCCGGACACCGGCATCTCGTCCAAAGCCATGGGCATCATGAACTCCTTCGTGAACGACATCTTCGAGCGCATCGCCGGGGAGGCGTCCCGCCTGGCGCACTACAACAAGCGCTCGACCATCACGTCCCGGGAGATCCAGACCGCCGTGCGCCTGCTGCTGCCCGGGGAGCTGGCCAAGCACGCCGTGTCCGAGGGCACCAAGGCTGTCACCAAATACACCAGCTCCAAGTAGACACGCTATATTAGCAACACTGTTAATACCTAACCAACTAAAAGGCTCTTTTAAGAGCCACCCAAGATATCTCTGAAAGAGCGTAATTGCTGATGACAGATTTAAAGAGAGAATTTTGTTTAAGCTCCTAGGTATTAAGAGTTGTGGAAAGCAACTACTTTGTACGGGGCCGCCTGTATTATTTAGGACAGGATTCTGCACTGTACATAAGTGAGAAAATAATATATCGAACCCCGTTAGCAATGAGAACTAATAAAAGCCTTTTTAACTGGGAAACCGTCCTTACAGTTTCAAAATCACGCGATTTTACATAGAATTATGGACTTGTCTAGAAGGGCAACAGCAGCGAACAGCTCTTATTGTGAAAAAGTGGGTGGCTCTGAAAAGAGCCTTAGATACAGATGTTTTGCTGAGGGTTTAGGACGGGCAGCTCAGCCGCCGAAGCCGTAGAGGGTGCGGCCCTGGCGCTTGAGCGCGTAGACCACGTCCATGGCGGTGACGGTCTTGCGCTTGGCGTGCTCCGTGTAGGTGACGGCGTCGCGGATCACGTTCTCCAGGAAGACCTTGAGCCCCCCGCGGGTCTCCTCGTAGATGAGGCCGGAGATGCGCTTCACGCCGCCGCGCCGAGCCAGGCGGCGGATGGCCGGCTTAGTGATGCCCTGGATGTTGTCCCGCAGCACCTTCCTGTGGCGTTTGGCGCCGCCTTTCCCCAGCCCCTTGCCGCCTTTACCGCGACCCGACATAACTAAGAGAAGCACAGGCTGCAGAGTGTGCGGCTGGCTGGGTGACGTATAAGTATATTCCCTGGGAGCCGACCTGATTGAAAACTGAGAGGAGGAAAAGAGGGCGGGAGAGAGCCCGCCGGGGCTGAGGGGGCGGGAGCGAGGCCCGCGGCTCCTCCCCTCCCGCCCGCCCCCCCCCGC